CGCGGGGCTGGCAGGCAGCGAGGTGCTGAGCGTGGCTCCCCTCGGGGGCTCCCCGGGGCCGGGGTTTCACTCCCTGCGGCAGCCCAGCTACGAGGAGGTGAGCAGCTCGGCTGTGCTCCGGCACCTTTCCCAGGGCGGACACAAACCGCCTGCGGGCTCGGATTTGGGTCAGGCGATCGCTGAGCTCGTGTGTCCGGTTGTTAGAGAAAAGCGGTGTCATTAAAGCTGTCAGCAAGGGCTGCTCCGTAAGCAGCAGCTTGTTGTTAGAGATGCTCACGGAAATAAGTCTGAAAAACTGCTCTACAGCATGAGTCACGTTCTGTGCCTTGTCTCTCTTACTGCTTTTGGTGTGACCCAGGTGCCTTCCCCATGCTCTTGCCCCTTGAAGTCATATTAATTTCGAATTAATAGCGTTTGATTAGTTACATTTGTGCTGGTTGCCTGGTGCCATATTTCTGTGTGCCACAGGGTTAGTGAAATTAAATAGTTTTGAGGGGGGGAAACTAGGTGTGAAAGGAAGCTTGAATGTAACAGAAAGTGCAAGATGTTCCAGCACTGGAGTTAAAGCTGAGTATTTCTTCTGGTACTGGTCTTGGAGTTTTAGTAGCATTGTGAATCTACACCCTCGTTTCTAATGAGAATTTTTATTTTTTAGCTAAAAGAAGAGAATGCCAGTTTGAGAAGCAAGATCAATAAGCTTCAGATTTTCTCTGAAACACAAGCAGACAAGTGCGTAAGCCACAGTATGGGGGAAAGTAACCACATAAGCAAGGAGTTGTCTTAGAAGAGGTGCTCACTGGACACAGTCAACGTCTTTAAAGAAGAAAAATGTAGTTGAAAACTATGCTATTTATTAAAAAGCTTTAACAAACCTGGTTTTCTAATTGAAAAAGGCTTGGAAAGTAAGTAGCAAGCTGACATCTGATGAGTGTGTTTGTGTGGAGTATAGGTGGTTAGTGAAAACGAGGGTAGGGCTTGACAGGGTGCATTTCATAACGCTTCAAATTAACAAAATAATGAATCTTAATCTCCTTTGAAGCAAGAAAAGCATATTTATTTTTGCTGGTGAGCAAATTGATGTTGTGAGACATTAATTTTTGAGGTGACACAACCCAGAGACTGATCTAGGGTGGCAATTTCTTAAGTTCCCATCTGCACTGCACTGCTCCTGCAGTGAGGCAGCTGGTCATTCCATGGTGATGGGGTAACCATTTCTTTCTGAATTACCCTTTCTAGGGTGACTGTGAACAGCCCTGTGGCCCTGTTTTCTGTACAGCCTTTCTGCATTCAGCTGTATAGTTCCTGTTAATGCTAGTGGATATCAAACAAAGAAACCCCCTGAGCCACAGCCTAGAAATGTAGTTCTGTGGGAAGACTTTAATTTTTCTTATAGCATAAAAGAACTAGTCTTTATCCTTCCCTAGAATTTTCTTACTAAGGTATTTAATATTAAAAGTGCTTACTGAACGTTGTGTCCTGATTCTTTAAGGATGAGGAAGCTTGAAAAAAAGCTTGAGGAAAACAAAATTAAAGAAGAAAAAGAAGCGCAGGATTTGGAAGCAATGGTGCAGCACGTGGAACAAAATCTGCAGCTGATGACTGTAAGTGTTGGCCTTTGCCACAGCAGCAGAAGCTCGTTTGCAGCTGGGACTGTGTAATTCTGATCCTTTTCCTTCCTCCACCAGGAGAGTGAGGGAAGCTGAAGTCATTGTTTCACCCATGGGAGCACTAAACAGCTCTGACATGGGCTCAGATTCTTCCCTTATAACAAGACTGTGTCCTGGTCTAGAACTCCTTTCATTACCTAGAATAAGGGGGGTCTTTGCAGGAGGCTCTCTTGCAGAAACTTTTTGGATTCATCAACACCTTGAATTGCTTTTTTTGCAGCCTTCTGAAAACTCTTCCTATGTGAACCAGGAGCTGTTTCTCCTGCTTGTTTATTTATACTGAATACCTTTTTCTTCTTGTCCAAGGGAAAAAAATATAATGTCCAGACGTGATGGATGGCACTTGTAAATATCAGAAATGAAAAATGGGGAGGAGATACTGATCAGACTTGACTGGGGGCATTATTTTCCTCTCGTAAAGCATTCTGAACACGAGGTGGTATAACACAGAGCATATCACTTCGAGTTATGTGCTGGAATCATGCATTCCTACGTAGCTCAAACTGCCTGCTGTGTCCTAAGCACTGCTATGGTGTAAATAATCTTTATTCTATTTCAGAAACGGGCTGTTAAAGCAGAAAACAGTGCTACAAAACTGAAACAGGAGAATGCATTGCTGCAGGTACGAAGCGGTGTTCTCAAGGCCTTGATGAAAGCGTGCATCTTGAAATTGAGCTTATAACAAGGATAGTGAAAACCTTTTAACTACACCTCGCTTTTCCTGGTGAATGCTGTAGATGTTCTAGACTAGAATATTTCAGCTCTATGCAGACTGTTAACCACATCTCTGGGATGTGTGGTGCTTCACTTGAAATTCTACTAAAGTTTCACATGATCATGGAATCACTTTGACCTTTAAGATCATCGAGTCCAACCGATGATGTTCAAATGCTGTTCAATATTTGGGACCTGTGAATGCTGTAACATTTGCCAACAGGGCAAATGGGTGTTTCACTGTAGGAATGTGCTTGACAGAAGGGAGAGAACCTTGAGAGATACTACAGGTAGCTCAGCAGAGCCTGCCTAGGGTTAGATGATGGCATCGCTGTCAGGTCACAGCTTCCATCCCTGCTGGCAGAGCTGGAATACGCTGCTCTAACACCAAGTTGGTTCTGTGAAACAAGCAGACTTGAGGGCTGCTGGCTGGCATGAAAATGCTGCGTACATTTCAGTTTTAATAAAGGCTTCTAAGTTGTAGTTTTCTGCCAGAGGCTGCTCTCCAGAGCTGAGAAGACATTCTCTCCGGGCAGTCCGGTGACGGGATCTGTTCACTAGTTGTTGTATATAGTATGTCGCTGTATGAGCGTACTCGTTAGTCGTGAAGTATCTACTGGAGTTTTGTGCTTATTTTCATGTGAAGTTTTTCTCTGTTTCTCCTTAGGTTCAGCTGAAGAATTACAAGACAGAGAATGAAGCCTTGAAGTCGGGCCAGTCGGCGAGCCTGGCTGCGGTGAAACAAAACGCAGACCTTGCCCTACAGAACCTCCTCACGGTCATAACAAACTCCCGGTCTTCAATAAAGTGAGTTCTCCTGAGACAACTTTCCTAACACTGCCCCAGATGCTTGTCTTAAATACTGAGGTCACAGCTAAACATCCCCAGTGGGTTTTTTAGGATTGAAATTCATGTTCTTGTATTCTGCATGCCAGATCAGCTAGTCCATGTTCTTAATTAAGCTACAGTTTATTTTTCTCCAGGTTTAGATAATAAAAATAACTAGAATGGGTCTTATTTTTTTACTTAATATAAAACCATTATACTTAAGACTTTCTAAGTCTCTTACACTTACAAAAAGTGAAGTCTTCAGTCCACATAAACTGTTTCTTGAAAAATCACATTGCCTGGGTAGACACTACCAAAACTCTGCTCGGCTGCTGTATCGTCTCCTCCTCAGTCTAATGCTGCGTCTCCCCCGTTCCAGGCAGCTGGTCTCCGGAGCAGAATCACTGCAGCTCGTAGCTGATCTCCTGAAATCAATAGACAGAATCTCTGAAATGTCAGAAGATGGACAGTAAAACTACACAACGGACTGAAACGGAGAACTTTGCTTTCATGTGGAAATCATCACTTCAAAGTCAGTTTCTGATATTCAGCCTCCTTATGACGTGCGAAGCTGCTGGCGCTGCTGCAGAACTGGCTTTGCCATCGCTACCGACCGACACCCAGATGGACACGAGTAGGTCCCTTTTCTACTAAGGCTGGGACCGCCTCCCCTCGCACCCCGCATTCCCCCGAGCCCCCGGCTTTCGGCGTGGACCTCGTAACCCCGG